TCTGATTTTCAGGCAGACACGAGCGTGGGGGTGGCTTTGGAGGGCTGAGGGGAGGCTCGAGAAGGTCCTTCCTCCCCACGCCCTGGGTGTGAGCCTGAGGCAGCAAAGCTCTGCAGCACGGAGGAGGCAGAGGACAAGCTGCCCTCTGCCTGCCCGAGGGTCTCTGCAGCTGGGAGACCCCGGGTTTGCAGCAATCAGTCCCTGCCTGTGCCCCCCTCAGCAAACCCTCCCTGTGCTGCCCTGCCAGGCACATCCCCTGGCTCCCAGGAGAGCTGGTGACACAAACCCTTCCACGCCTGATTGCAGGGCTTACAGTTCGCCATAAGTAAATAAATTAGGTATAATTTAATATTTGACTGTAAGATTTACTGTTCCACTCTTTACAGCTTCTCAGGTGGGTGCCCAGTAATTGAGGGAAATGAAGAGCCCCATTAACTCCCAGCAGCGTGGAGGGAAACCTCCCTCCACCTCCTTCCACCTCCCTCCACCTCCCTCCACCTTCCTCCACCTCCCTTCACCTTCCTCCACCTCCCTCCACCTTCCTCCACCTCCTTCCACCTCCATCCACTTCCCTCCACCTCCAGCCTGAGCCAGTCCCTGGTGGCAGGGGATGAGGAGGATCCTCCTGGCTTTAGGGGGGCAGTTCTTGCTCTTTGCCAGTAGCTGATGCCCAGAGCCACACACACCTGCCCCATCACAGGGCAGAGCAGAGTTCAGTCTCCTCACAGAACCCGGGCGAGTTTGGCACCAAACCCAGCAACGACCTGGGGTCGCTGTTACAGAGTGAAATTCAGCTTTGCTGTGACTTTGAGACCCTTTAATTTTGAATAATTTGTAGGATATTAAAATTCAATCTGTACTGGCACTTGAAGCAGCGTCCCAATATATTTTAGCAGCTGGATTGCATCACAGACCTGCCAAGGACAGAGCCCGGGGCTCACCTCCCTAATTTTAGATCAAATGCTGCTCCAAGTTCTCTAATTATGTTAACCTCTGTTGCAACACTATTCTCTGCAATCTGTAGCATAGTCAGCATGTTTGGGTCCTTCTCCAGGGTGGGCTCAAACACAATCTGATTCCCCAAAGTCCCATCCTATTGGAATTACATTTGCAGTGTGATCTCTTCCCCCACGGTCTGCAGGTGTCAGTGCCAGGGGAAAGCTAATAAAAGAATTCCATTTTGTACCTATTTCTTCAGGGTTTGGCTAGTTCAGGTACTGAGTCCTAAATGCTGCCCCTTGTCACTTTGTGCCAATTCTCAGTTTAACCTCGAGTGGTTGCAGGCACTTCTCAGAAACATCCTACTTCCACCGACCAAACAAGCCTTCTTGGAAAGTAATGCCCTTACTCTGCTGCTGACTGAGCTTTGACCAAGCAACCCCAAATTATCTTCAACTGAGGAAAACACCACTGAGTCTGGCCTGGCCTGGCCTCACCCTCACACACCCCTCAGACAGCAAATCCCATTCTCCTGAGCAGGATTTCAGGTTAAACATCAGCCAAGTGCTGAGACCTGCAGACCATGGCAGCATCTAGCCAGCAATTCCACATTTCAACACCATTTATATAATGTTTTCTCTATTTAGTAAAGCAGGAGGATTGGGCAGGAGCTTTAAACCCACCCCTGGTGGCTCCTCTGTGGCTCGAGCCCGGTGGGACCTCCACGCTCATTTTCTCTTTCAATTATTTCCCAAGCTGCTGCAAACACAACCAAACCAGCCAGCAAATTCAATCTTTCCCCCTTCATGAGAGGTTTTTAAAACAGGAAATGATTTGCAGGTGAATAGTGTGTTATGTTGGTGTCCAAGTCCCTGCAGCAAACTTGGATCATGGAAAGGTCCCACAACCAGCCCCCAGAGGGAACAGCTTCTGCTAGATCACTTCATGGGGATCTGGCCTTCCCTTGAGACTTAAACATGGATTTGGGGACAAATCTTGCTTTGAAAAGTAATTCCCATTTCCCCCTGGATTTGCACAGTTGTGCATCACAGCTGCACATCTGTCCCCAGGACTGGGGCTGGGTGTGTGAGCACAGGGAGGAGGGCGTGACCAGCCTGGACAGACACTCCCTGACTGGTCCCAGTAACTCCCACCACAACCTATCCGGTCTGCAAAGTCCATCCCTGCCAAAAGGTTTCCAGGACAGGGGGTTTGGGATAAATGCTTCACCCCAGTGACTCACCCCGTGTTCCAGGTTTCCTCCGTGTGCTATGGCAACAGCAAATGCAACACATTTTTGTGGGGTGTTTCATGCCAGAATCCCCCTCTGCTGAAGCAGCTCCAGTGGCTGAGGACAGACCAAAAACTGTGTGTCACAGAACCCATGTCACAGAACCTATGTCACAGAACTTGTGTGTCACAGAACCCTGTCACAGAACCCCTGTCACAGAACCCTGTCACAGAACCCTGTCACAGAACTCCTGTCACAGAACCCCTGTCACAGAACCCTGTCACAGAACCCTGTCACAGAACTCCTGTCACAGAACCCTGTCACAGAACCCTGTCACAGATTTGGCTCCTCTTTGTCCCACGTAACAGCCCAAAAATGCTCCCCAGAAATGCAGTGACTGACGAGGGCAGTGACGCAGGTGGGATGTTTTGTGTATTGTGTTACAGTCACAATACACAAAATACCTCAAAATATGTAAGAAACTGCCCAGTCACTCAATAGCCCAGCACAAGGGTTGTCTCCCTGCATTCCTGAGGAACGCCTGGAGCATTCCAACAATGAGCCACGTGCCATCAATGTGCTCCATCGGCCTCGGCAGCCCACACTGCCCAGAGCAGAAAACCACACCAGCACTGCCCGAAAACGTGCATGTCTGTGAGTGTTATAAAATGCAAGGGACTCACACTGCACCAACAAAACCCTGTGCAGATTCAGAATTAAAAACACCCTCGATTCACTTAAAGGGACGTGTCAGAGCCTTGATTGTGATAAATCCCATTCCTTCATCTGTGAAGGTGACATTTCAGGCAAATTGTCCCAAGAAATTGAGTGGAACAAGGAAGAGTTTCCTGTTTTTTAAGTGATTTCCTGTGATGACAAAGCCCAGCATGGGAGCAGCCGGCTGCATGGCTGGTGCTCAGGTTTTTTAGCTTCTTGTTGTTCCCAGGCAGGCAGATGGAATTCGTCACAAGAAGCTAATCAGGGACACTGGGACCTAGTTGCATTTACAGGGATAAAATCTCAGTTTGAGGAGTCATTAGGAACCTGCCTCTCACAGGCACACTGCCTGCGAAGTCACAGACCATTTCCCAGGCAAACCATTCCACTGGAGCCTGGCAAAAGGACCAGGAGAAGAGCAGTGGGAGTCGTGCAGGGAGGTCATTAACCAGGGTCTGTCCCTTCTACCAGGGCAAAGAGGAGCCTCCTCACTCCAGCAGTCAGAGGAGTGCAGGACATGAGAGAAGGAAAACAAGAGCAGTCAAGTAGCTTGGCCTTTAAACCATCCAGCTGGTGCCCCTCCAGGGTAGACCCTTCCCCAGCTCCTGCAGTTTGGAGGTCAGATTGAAAATCCCCTTCCTTCCTTAGAAGAGAGGACAAAGCCCTGGAAGCCTGCAGGATCCCCACAAGCACCTGGCAACATCAGCAGCCAAAAAACAGCTTCCAAGCCAGCCTGGGCACACCCTTCTCCTGCCTCCACCTCTGCTCCAACACTGCCCTGGCTGGATATGTTCCAGGAGCCCCACTGCCTTCCCAGCAGAGGAGCAGAGGTGCCCCCTGAGTGCTGGTGCAGCTGAGGGGCTGGGGGGCACTGGGGCATGCCAGGTATTGGGGGCTGTCGGGGCTGCCAGCCTGGCACCCGGCCGCCTTCAGGGAGCCTTTTTTGAGCTCTGGGAGGTGGAATTGCAAACAGGAAAGTGCTGAGCCAGCTGGGAACAAGCTGTTCGCCTGCCCCTGGGTCTCTCTCTCCCAGCAATATTTTAATTCCAGCTCTAACTGCCAAGAAAAGGAGCTCCTTAATCAGCAGAGCTGGGAGGAAGGGCAGCTCCCGTTCCCACAGGGCGGCCCTGTGGCCACACTGTCCCTGGCCACCACCCTTCCTTCCCCTGCAGCCGCCGTGCCCGTGGCCATGCCCGTGCCAGCCACGCCAAAACCCCTCCCTGTGTCCTCACGAGGGCCAGCACACACCTGATGTGCCAAGTCCTGCCACAACTCCTGGTGTTCCTCGTTCTCCCTGGAAAGAGGGGCTGCTCTGGCGGAGCAGCAAACGTTCCACGAGAGCTGTGAGTCTCCCTGGTTTGTGCTCCTCCAGAAAACTCAGCCTTTGCAGCTTGTCAAACCCAGCGTGTTCCAGAGAGAGGGAAACAATCTCCCCCAGCTGTGCCGTTTTTCCGGTGTTCCCTTCATCCCTGATGCAGCACCCAGCAAATTCTGCCTTGTACCAAAAGCCATTTCTGTCAAATTAGGTTAAAAGGAAGTAGCGGAAAACTAAAAGCTCTGCGTCTAATCCTGCCACCTGGAAAATCAGCAGAGAAATATAATTTTGTAGTCTTTCAAATTAAATCAGATTCTGGGCACTCTGCTGATGAGTTAATCCAGAGCTGAGTGGAATGGCTCTGCTCAACCATGACCAGGTTTAGGCACGTTCAATTCACGGCAAAGCAGTTCCAGTTCAGAGACGCCGCTTTTAATTGTATCCTCACCCTGTTTCTTTTAATTTCACAATTTGCCTCAGCCCTCGTCCATTAAGGAGCTCTCACAGGAGGTGGCCATCAAAGGCAGAGCAGAGGCCAGGGACCTGCAGGGGGGTCACCACATCTGTCTGGGATTTGGGTGGCCTTTTCCTTCCCTGGACCCTGCGGCTCCCACCCACCCAGGCTCCATCCTGGGGGCTCCCAGGGCAGGAACAGCTGAGCAGGGATCAGGGATCAGGGGTCAGGGATCAGGGATCAGGGATCAGGGATCAGGGATCAGGGCTGCTCCCCAGCACTGCTCAGGTTTCTCACTCCTGCTGAGGACACTCGGGTGTCCCCGCTGGGCTCCCTGGGTGGCCACGCTCTGAAATCCCTCCCAGCTGCTGCTCCCCAGTGCTCCCCATGCTCGGGAGCAGTCACTCCCACCCCTCCTTGATGCTTTGTATAAAACTGACCTGCACGTGATTTTGTGCCTCTTTATTCTCCTCTCAGCGTATCAAGTGCAGCCACAAGTCTCTCTGTACTTCACTTTATTCTATTTTTTCCCCAGTTGCTTTTCACACGCCAAGTCCAGAATGTCACATCTGATCTTTCCTGGTTTCCCTCTGGGTCTTCTAGGAAAGCTGAGACCAGTTGCATTAGAAGCAGTAAAAATGATTGATTGAAAGCATGAAGGTGCCTTTTCAAGTTTTAAATTTAACAAGTTTAAGGATCATGAAGTGTTTCTCTTCTTTTCCTGGCCTGGGAAGGAGTAGGGCTGTCCACATCCCACAGGGACTCCAGCACTGCTGACCTCTGCAGGCAGCGAGGCAAGGCTGCAAAGGGGACATCAATGGCAACAGCAACTTTTATTGAAAAACAGAAATAATCTCTTCAAACAAAAAAACCCCAAACAAAGGTAAACATGAACGGGGTGGTTTGTTCTGAAAAGCTTTTCTGGTATCAAGAGAAGTGGTCTTACACAATATGGTGTTTTGGTTTGGTTTCTCTCTTGTTTTCCTAATTTACAATGTGTTTTAGCATCTCTGCAAAATATCCCTCAGGCTGCCAATGGTGACAGGGCCCAGAGTGCTGATTTAACGTGAGAGAACATGTTCTCTTACACCATTTTTCCAAACTCTCCCCTTTGTGCTGTGATGTCATTAAACCACTTACAACCAAGTCCAGAGGCTGGATCTCCATCCTGTCATCCAGCAACATCTGCCTCCTCCCCGTGGATGCCACCTGGCACTTTGCAGAGATCCAGTCCCTCCTGGGTGTGAGTGATCCCAGGAGCCAGCCCTGCAGAGAGGAGGAGGAGGAGCAGCAGGAGGAAGGAGGAGGTTGTCTCTCTGGGCAGCAGCCCTGGGAGAGAGCACAAGCCCCTGAAGGCATTTTGGTTTTGAGAACAGTGACATTCCCTGAGCCAGGCTGCATGGACAGCCAACAGCATGGACATACCAACCTGAGTGGACACTCACTGCTGCCCTAGGGGTGTAACAGCCACCATCATGAGGAGTCCAAAGCAAAGACTGTGAAGAAACCAGCAGTAACTGCTGCCAGCCAGCACAGCTGCCCAGGCACAGGGAGCAGAGCTGCTGGGGGAGCAGCACGGCAGGAGGGGAAGGAGAGGCTGAAAGCTGCTCCCTTGCCCCGATTTTGGCTCTTCTCCACGTGCAGGGAAGGCAGTCTGCACTGCTGCTCCTCCTGCCATCCCCACAGCTGCTCCAGAAGAAGATGGTGATGGATTTATCGCTCCTCCCTGAGCGAGTGGTGATGGATGGTTGGTGGAGCTGCGGAATTTCCCCAGGCCCCAGCTGGAATCCAATCTCCTGGAAATGTTTCACTCCCCATACACGGGGCTATCTAGAAAAGGCAGGTCCTCAGGAGCACAGCTTTACCTGCAATCCTCTGGTGCAGCACTTTGATTTGTTTCCTTTAACGAGGCTCGAGGGTGCCTTAAGAGGCTGTTTCCAGGATCCAAGGGAGATGGCAGGATTTGATCTCTCTCCATGGTCTTGTATGTAATTACTGAGAGGAGACAGCAAATGTGCAAAGACTCAGAGAGGTTACAAGAAATTATCCCAAGCCAGCAGACAGAAATCCACCTCTGCTGGGATCTGGGGGAGCTGTGGGAAGTTCCACATTTGCAGGTAGGACCAGGGCCAGTAACAACCCCCCTGTAAACCCCCGGAGGGTCAGCTCCATCCGTGACCTGCCCTTTCTCCATCCCTCTCCCACCCCCACGGGCAGAGGGCACTGGGCAGGTGGGTGCAGAGAGCAGCTCTTGGCAGTGTCAAGCTCACCTGTCTTGAGCTCCACAGCTCCACGTTTTGAGAGCTCAGCTCCCCAGTGCTGCCACTTGGAGAGAATTTCTTACGTGTCATCCAGTTTTAGTGCCATTCTATTTCATTTGCTGCCTTACCTTAATCATTTTTTAACACTCATTCAATTTGCATTTCTCTCTCTTCATCTGTTCCTGATATTTTATTTTTTCAATAAACTAAGTAATTTAGTGGCTCTAATCCCAAGCCTCCAATTTAGAGCATGGATGTGGAGGCTGCAGAAAGAAGCCCCAGTTTAAATCTGTCAGTCAAACATAACTTAATCTATCATCTTCTTTACAACTAAAACTGCTCTGGGGGAAGGAAACCATGACTGGGAATCAGTTTAACTTTGAAACATCCACCTCTACAGCTTTCTAGTGCTCTTGTTATGCACGGGCTATCAGAAAATGATGAAGTTATACAGACCTTGGACAACATGAAGTCACAGCAGTTCAGGTCCAGAGGCAGCTGCAGAGGCTTTGAAGAGCCCGAGGCCACATCCCCAGTGCCATCACCGTGGTGCAGGCTCTGGGACACAGCTGCAGTGCTTTTCGACTGGTTTTCCATTTCTGGACCTCTAAAAAAAGTCAAGAGAATTAAAGACACTAAAGATAACTGCTTCTCTCTGTTACCTTTCCTGGCTGCTGTGAGATAGCCCACGGACTTACTCGAGGCAGTGGCTCAGGGCTGAAGCACAGCCCCAGGCACACACGGGCTGGATGGAGCCAAGGAGCTCTGGAGTGAGGGCACTGACCACAGAATGCTCTTCCCTGTGCTTCCTGGGGCTCCAGGCTGCTGTGTGCTTCCAGGCTCCTCTGCAAGCACCTCTGGATGCCCCCTGGAAGCCTCTGGAAGGCTCCTCTGCTGTATTTGGTTTTGGTACTTTAGTCTGACTTACATTTTCTCCATTTCACTGGGATCAGGACCTGCACAAACAAATCCTCCCGTCCTCTCCCACCAGTGGGACCAGAGGCTGGGGGGAAGCTCGTGGTGTGTCAGCCCACCACAGCCCTGAAGCATCAAGCACTAAATGACTGTGCTCCCCACGAGATGAGCTGTGCAGTGAATTATTCTTCATCAATAATTAAGGACTTTTCATCAAAATTTCCCCAGCAGCTGGATGCTGAGCTGGTGCCCGAGGGGTCCCTGCCACCTCCAAAGCTGCAGCAGAGCAGCACAGGGCACAGACACAGGGGCACCACGAGTCCCAGTGCCCCAGAGCTGCAGAGCTGGGGACGTCTGTCTCACACCTCTGCTCGTCTGGGAGCATCTCAGTGTAAACCTGCAGCACTGGGCCAAGCCATTGCTCCTCTGGAAAGTTCTCCTGGGCTGTTTGTTTATTTTTGTCTAGTCCTTCACTGCTGGCTCTGTGGGAGAAGCTCAGAACTGGGCCTGTCGAAGCCCAGAGAAATCACTGCACAGTTCTGCCCTGAGCTGGAGCATCCAAAAGCTGCCACAGTCAATATATCCTGGGCTGCAGCAAACAGCCTGACAGCAGGGCACAGCAGCCGTTCAGCAGATGACCACATTTTATTCTGGCCCATATTTCATCTTGCAGCAATTAGCCAAGAAAAAAGGGCCTCATCACACCAGCATTTCAGCCTCGTGTTCAGGGAGGCAGAACTTAGAGCACAAGATCCTCAACAAAAACACCATGAATGTCTGCTAGCCCACATCAGAGTTTTCACAACTGGAGCATGAGGGAAAACCTGCTCAGCCCTGCTGGGTTCAGCCACCTCACATGATGGTTTTTGGCAAATCTGAGGCAATCCAGTGAGTACTGTGAGGAGGCACCACAGTGCAGCCACCCCAGCCCAGGGATGAGCCCCCCACCAGCACTCAGACATTTGTTGGATGTCAGGTCCTTCCCTTTGCTCCACCTCAGCATAAAACATATAGTTGATGTCCACGTTCTAGTTTTCTGAAATAATATCTTCCCCATAAATATCTTCTCAATAGTCCCAGCCCCAAGCCCGGTGCTAATAAAAGTGCTCTTTATGGTTATTGGACAAGTGAGATGACTGGCCTGCACAATTACCTTCAAATATCTGCTCAGAACCGGCTGGGAGTGCAAATCAGCTTCTTCCTCCCCAGGTGCAAATCCATAATGAGGATTTATTTCATAGGAGGTGGAAATGAGGTAATCCCTCTTCTTCCTGAGGTGAGATAAGGAGAGGGAAAAAAAAAGAAAAAAAAAAAAGGAAAGAAAATGGTACAAGTTAATACTGAAGCATCTGGAAAAGCAAATGATTTGCAGGAGAAAGGGGCAGGAGGCCAATGGCATAGAAAAGCTCTGAGTAATAAGAGGGAGAAATGATGGGTTTGCCTAATGCTGTCCTGTGCAGGGACAGGGGCAGGAGGTTGGTGTGAGCCCCTTCCTTGTGTTCAGCCTCCTCAGGGATTCTGCAGCACCCAGGAGCAGAGGTCAGTCCCCAGCACAGCCAGCACCCTGCATCTGTGGGCACAGCCTTTTTGTGCCTGGTTTTTTTCCAGTAAATTCATTACTATAATAACCCTATTTTAGTAAAACATATAAAATTGCCACAAAATGAAGCAGATAAGGAGAAATTGTGTCATTGGGGAAACCAAACTGGCACCCAGCCTCTGCTTCAGCAAAGCCACAGCAGATTTGTGCTGCCCTGTGAAAATGGAGTGAGTTGAGAAACAGCATAAATTAGGATAAAGGTGTGTATTTATGAGAAGAAATTGAGGAAAACCAACTCAGCTGTCTCCTGGGATTCTCTCTGGGTTTGCTATCGACTCTGCTCTCTGCCAAGCCCCAGCAGCTCAGAGGCAGAATCTGTTGATGCTACAGAAAGCAAAGTCCTGCAGAGCAGTCAATGGGAAATAATGGATATCAATTACACAGCTGGAACTGCCGACTGGATCAGGTTTTATAACTCTTCACTCTTGGGGTCTTCTTAATAAATCCATCAGGAGAGGTGTCATATCCTTTATAGCAATATGTTCCAATGTTTTATTTCCTGTGAGGGAGCAACTGGCTGCTTCACAAAACACTCCTCAGGGCCCCCCCAGCCCCGTGCAGGAATCAGAATTGATGGGACAGGGACAGGAGCTCTTTGCTCTCTAATGCAGGGACCAGTTTGCCCCAACATTCGGATACTGCTGCTGGAAACCAGTCGGATTCCTTCCCTTCTGCTCCAGTCCTGCTGATGGCACAGGGGCAGCTTCTGAGGAATGATTTGGTGGGAGCCTCACAGCGAGGAGCTCAAAGCTCAGGTCACCTAAAAGCAAACCAGTTGTTGAGGAGCACCTGCACTTTGTGGCAGGCAGAAAAGAGCATCGTCCTGCCCGGGTGTGAGAGCTTCCAGCCCTGCAAGAGCAGCCACACCACCCAGACCAGGTTGGAAAATTATACTGAACAGGGGTGAAAAAAACCCCACCTCATCTTTGTCTATCACTTGCATTTTTTTATCTGCATTTTTATTGAATCCAGCCACCAACTCAAGTGCTGGAAGCAGAAATGCAGCTTTCTTCCATGGCATCTTCCCTATGGTAAATCTAATTAAACAGCCATTAAAATGTGTGTTAGCTCAATCGTATCAAGGTGACCTGGAGCTCCTGCTAAATGTTAACAACAGCATTCCCCACTAACTGGCATCCGAGAGGGAACAGGCAGTACTGTTTCTCCTGATGTGGCCTTTAGATGAATGTGGTTATTAAAGTGCTTTGTGTACCATGGATTCCCAAATAAATGAGCCTAATTTTCTGGCAGCTGAAGCCGCCCCGTGTGCCCCTGCAGCACTCCCAGCCAAGGCTGGCACATCCCAGCATCCCAGCCAGGCTCTGCAGGATGCCAGAGGCCAAGGGGACAGAAGTGCACAGGCAGCATCTCCAAAAGCCAGAGGAGAAGTGCTAAAATGTCAGGCAGGAGAGGAGAGAGGGCAGAGCCTTCCCTGCAGCATCCAGAGCCGCTCCCACCCCCGTGGAAGGTCCCTCTGCCCCCAGACAAGGCTGATGGTTCCCCAGCCAAAGTGAACGCCTGGCTGGGTGTTCAAATATCCCTAAATCCTTAAATCCCAATCCAGATTAAAATCTGGAAATATTTCCTGGGTTTACACTGGCCTGACCTCCAGTCTCAGAGCCACACACAGTCCATGTTCATGATGCAAAACTGCAGACTGAATTCCACATCCCTCCCCACAACCAGACCTGCCAGTGCCCAACAAAGAAATACCTGTTTTATAAGCAGTTTATCCTGCATAGGTTAACAACAGCAAAATGCTAATGATAGCCAATGATGAGAGTGAAAACTGAGAATTGTGTCTGTTCATTACTGCAGGTTTTTATCATGCACCCTAAGAAGTATCATTATGCTAAAGAAAATGTTCACCATGTACTAAATCAGACAGATCTGCATCTAAAAAACTACCTCCTTTGGTTGTTACCTTATGTTTGCCTTCACAAGTTTATTCCTTTTAATGCGGCTACGGTTAAAAATAGGAAATATCCCACCAAGCTACAAAATAGCTGAACAGGTGGGAAATGTCTCACCTCCCCCTTGCACATGTCAGCAGCTGCAGTTTGGGCACTGGGGCTCCGTGACTGCAGAAATCTCCCCCCGTGGGGTGTGCTGGGGGCTGCAGGAGCAGGAGACCTGGGGACAATGAACACCCACCTGGGGGCAGCGACAAAGGAACAAACTGAGTTCAAAAACAAAACAGGACAAGGAGAGATGGAGCCAGGTGGTAGCCCAGAGCTCCTGTTCCCCAGGCTTTGGCAGCCCTGGAAAGCCCTGGAAAGGTGAAGGTCCTTTCTGTACAGCCCACACGGGTTTGCTCTGGGCACCGTGACCGTGGTCACACCCCAGGCTCTGGGCTCAGCCCAGGGGATGGCAAATGCTCAACAAATGACAGTGTGCATCAAGTTAACCTTCCTTTGGGGTCAGCTTTGCACAGCCACCCTGAGCCAGTGCCCTTCCCAACACCACCACGTCTCCAGAGGACTAACTGGGATCCAGCATCAGCCAGCTCAGAGCTGGGGCTTCCCCAGTTCACTTCCAGGAGCAGCACCGTGTGCCTGCAGCACTGAGGCTCACCTGGGCAGTTAAAAAATATCCTGTGCTTATTTCCACATCTTTCGTGTTCTGTCTTGCTTGGCATTTGGATTTCTGACTATTGAAGCACTCCTTTGCATGAATCCCTCAGCTATTACGATGCATCTCTGCCGAGCAGGGAAGGCACAGTAAAACTAATTAAACGCCATCCGAGAGCTTTACTCTGCCATTTACAGAAACACATTAAACCATGAGGAAGGGCTCTTTCAGAATCATTGCAAGGGGTTGGGTGCACAACTGGCTGATTTTTTCCCATATGGACTGTCCTGTACACAGGGGAAGGCAGGACAGGGGGGGCTCACGGGCAAAGGCCAGCAGGGCCCAGCACCACACTTGGCAGGCAGGAGAGGACACATATCTGTAAATCCAGGTATTGAGCAAGAGTGCAGACAGGGAAGGGGACAACAAACACCGTCCAGAGTCACCCTCTGCTCAGCTACAGCACAGGACACACAGAGTGTGGGGGGCACAGCCTGTCCCCCTGGCAAGGGCCCACTGCCCAGCTGGGCACAGCACTGCTCTACCCACCACCTCAGCATGGCTGAGGCTGCTCCCACAAAACCCCTCTGTCACTGCCACCAGGAACACTGGAAGGAACAGCAGCAAAAGCAAGCAAAGGGCCGAGGTGGAGGATTGCTCTTGGAAGGGACAGGGGATACAAATGAGCAGCTCTACGCAGGAATCTACTGTCACAGGGGGTAATGAATTAAATGAAGTGGAAAGCATGGCATGAACTGGAGATTTGCCGTAGTGACTAATGTAATTAACCTCTATTGAAATAATTAAGCCTCCTAATTTGTGCTGCATGAGCAGCACAACTGCCAGGGCAGGTATGGGCAGCCCTGAGCCGGCTGTGGGTGGGTGGCACCCACCACACCAAGGGGTTTTGGCTCCCCTCAGCACCACAGGGCTGCTTGAGTTGTGCCAGGGATTCGTCTGGAGCCAAGGGCAGGTCCAGGCACAGACCCCAGAGCTGGGCAGGCACCACGAGGGCACCACGGGCACGGTCAGCATCGCCCGAGCAGCCCCAGACCAGTTCCTGGGGCAGTTTCTCAGGTGTTGTGAGACACCAGGGCTCAGAATGGGGAGAAGCAGGAGCTCCCTGGGCTGCACAGTCCTAGGGGCTGCCTCCCAAAGCTTGGATCGACAGCTTTCCAAACCCATTTCCCTCGTCCTGGTGTGTCCTGTCTCAGCAGGAGCTGTTCTACAGCTCTGCCTGCAGCACAGCACAAATAAACCACAAAAGCTTTAGGAAGAAAACATTGTGATCACAAATATCCCACAAAATTCCGTGGCCCATTCCTCTTGGACTCGACCTGCCTCCTCATAAACTGTGACATTCTTCCTTCTTTCAGCACAGGATTGCTTTATGCCAGTCAGGGAAGCAAGGTTTGTTGTCTCTAGTTATTAATTTACTTTTATTGACTGCAGTGCCTTTCCCTGTTTTATTACCCAATAGCTCACACCAGCAGAACAGCTTTTCTTTTAGGTTACACATAAACGTTTGACTTTCCCAGACGGGCACCAAGGAGAGGGAAAACCAACGTGGTGCAGTGAGCCACCCGATCTGCATCTGCTGCCCCGACCCCACGGCCCCAGGGACACCTCCCAGCAGAGCAGGCTGCTCACAGCCTCATCCAACCAGCAAAAATGCTGATCCCTTTCCCCCTCCTTTCACTGCTCAAGGCATATGATAAAAAAGCACAAGATTTAGATTGATTTTTTTCCCCCCGTCCTAAAAATACGCTCTGAAACGCTCCCATTGTCCACATGCTGCTCCCTGTGATAAGGCACATTTTTGCTCTATAGCAATTATTTTGAACACCACTATTACATTGACTGTGAAAACCCAAGAGCACCACAGAAGGTTCTGGGTTATTGAGCCACCGGGTTCCTTCCCTGCTGCTGATGGACACCTCCTGCTGCAGCCGGGACAGCAGGGAGGCAAAGAGCTGCTTTTTTCTTTGAGAGAACTGACAGCTGAGATGAGTCCTCTGCTCAAACCCCCGCCTGTGCTAAAGCTAAAAAATAAAAACAAAAACAAAAGCATCTCAGGGGCTTGGCTGGTTCTGCAGCCCA